TTAATAAACACTATTTTCTGCCATTACCTAACACAGCTATAAAGTGGAGCTTTTCTCTGGTGGTGCTACAACCACACACACACACACACACATACACACACACACAGAAAGCTGACAGGTTCTCTTCAGCTTGAACTCCTAGAAACAAAAGCCCTTAGGGAAAGTAATGCAATAGTCTATGAGCAAAGTGTACATTTGCTCCTGAACTCTTTCATTTAAATCTCAACTAACATTAAAAGGAAAACAAGAAACATATTATACAGACAGATTTTGACTTACTAAATTGACCCTTCTTTTTGAATTAAAAAGAATTATCAAGGCATATATACACACACACAAACACACACATACACATACGTATATACATACACATACATACACAACAATACATGGCATATCAGAATCACAGCATAAATACCCACACAGCTCTTCATTGCTTTCTGAGTAATCTCCTTTAGTTTTGCTTCCTCAGAATTGAAATAAAATACACACACACACTGACCCACAGATTTACACGCTTTAAGAAACTAGAACAACGCAGTTGATACGCTATCTTTTTATCCAAGTAGTCACTGCCAGCCCTTTTCCTACCTACCCAAATGTTCCACCAGCTTCAGCACCTGGACGAGTGGACAGCTCAGCCTGGGCCGACTGCCGACAGCACTCGCAGCAGAACTGACGCTCTGAGCTCTAACCAAAGCTCTCTCGTGCTTCAGCGGGGCAGCCTGACTTACGAGAACACCATTTCCTACGAGACCACTGCCGCTGGGTGCATATTCAATTCAAACCTCCTTAAGCTGTCGGATTTCCCCCACCCATCCACCCTCCCCCCTTCTCCACCCTCCACACAAAAACAGAAAAGGGAAAAAGCCCAATACCATCAAGGCGTTTGTTGATCAACTTACACTTGGCTTTTGAATATTTAGATACTGCTAGCGGAGCAATACCAGCGGAGGCTTAGGTCCGCATTAAGTACCTTTGTTCATCGACTCCTGCAAGCCATGTTTATTAGAATCTACATTTCTCTCGCGCCCCAATAACTAGAGGTGTGTTTTGCGGGCAGGGGGCTTTCAGCACCTTTTGATCTCTCAAGGCCACTGCGACTGATTGCCAGTCCCCACTACTTTCCCACCCTGTCCCCCACACTCCAACACCCATCCCAATCAAACGCTTGGTAATTTGCAACCAAATATACATAAAGGAAGGCGACAAAGCAATCGGTTTGAGGAAATAAGCCAATTAAGCTAAAGCAGAAATGCTTCTCTTCGCCCCCCCCCCTCTCCTTTGCCTCCCTCCCTCTCCCTCTCTCCTTCCCTCTCAAGTAGAAAGGGGGAAACACCAAGGAGAGGGAAAAAATCGGGAGGAGGGTGATAGTCGACTCTTAACAATCAATGGAAAAACACTATACACATCTTTACTGAATAATACTCTCGTTCTCAGACAAAAAGAAACACATTTATCGATGTAAACATAGTCTCCCTCTTCCACACATCCTACATCCTTTACGTTTGCTGAGATTTGTCTTGCGGTATAGCAAAGTAACTGTCACAAATCCATCTCGATTGAAGTGCTTACCCTCTAAATCCAGGTTTCAAGCGGAACTCCAAGTGTATGTAGAAGCCAGGGAGTCATCTGATGAGCGGTTGAGGTAGGCTCTGGGCAGTGGGAGCTGCTTCCCTCGGAGTGCCGGGTTACAGTGTTAACAAGCCCTGGGAAGGGACCTCCGTGCCTCTCGCTGGCTGTGCCCCAGTGCCTTCGCGTGGTGGCGGCTTGCTCACGCTTCCGAGGAGTCCCAGGCGATAGCCTTCAGCTGATGCGAGCTTCCAGAAAGGAGTGAGGAAGGGAAAAAAATCATCTAATGCAATCAAATCGATCTGATCTACACCATCTGTCGCCTGCCACTATACACAAACGTTAAAATAGGAAAACGGAAAACACTGACAGCCCGAGAGGGTTGGTCTGCAAAGAGTTCATTTTTAGCAGAGCATAATTGGGTATGGTCGGCGTACAGTTACAAAAGCTGCTGTTAACCATCCAGTAGTGGATCCCAAACATGCTAATGGTGGATTAATTGAGGAAGATCTGACGTGCAAGCTTCATAGTCTCTTATTCATGACTTCCCAATGGGAAAGGACCAATGCCTTGTGGGACTATGGTAACATACAGTCAAAAAGCTGCTAAGAAAATGGCTGTGTGTTCACAGCACCTCTCTCTGATAACAAACATATGTCGACTAAAACGGTTTAGTAGAATGGGAGGGGGGGTGTTGGAGAATAAAATTTTCTTTCCTGGTATAAGCACTCCCCATCTTCTTTCCTGAAAGAAAAGCAAAAATAGATACCATATCTTTACCATAGTGGAGGAAAAAGGATGTTCTAAAAGGTTTTTATCAAGATTAAACTCTGCCATATAAAAGAAACAGAAGACTCCTGTGCAGCAATTAAAAACAAACAAACAAACAAAACTAATATGCTTTTCTTCCTTACTGTGATCAAAGTAGAGCCATAGCATGGTCAGTATATAGAAACTCAGCCCAGTTAATCCCACCAGGATTGAGTTGAGGTTGTTTAATGCCTGGTACCCTTTTGACTTCTTGAAATCAGGATGCCTCTTGGGCAAGACATTTTGCATCATTGAAAACTGACATAATGAATGTTCACTGTGATTCCACTGAGGAGATGGAGAGAGTTTTCTTTTTTAATTCTACAGTTATTCCCTCCAGCCAAAACCCGCTTTGGTCTGTTTCCAGTCTTTCCTGATCAGCTGATGGGGGAGGTATTGGGATTGAGGAGGGAGTAGAGATAGGGGGGAGGAGGGGAGGGAGAGTGTAGATTATCAAGAGCCAATAAGTTCTATTTCATCTGTAATAAAAAAAAACTATGGCAATAAAAGAAATCACTTACTAATCTTTTTAAAAAATTGCAAATAAAATGCTAACTATTGGAACCATTACCATTTTAACTTTAATTTTAAAATTAATCTTTCATATGTGAAAAGAAAATACATTGCAAACAGTGGATTGTCCCCTTCCATTTGTAATTTTAAGGTTTAAAAAAGAAATATAGAGTTTATTATTTAGGTATGTGGCATTCTTTTATTATCTATATCTAATATTCCACATTCCTCTGATTTTGTCATGCATTTGAACATTGAAGATTGTGTTCATTTGTATTTTGCTGCCTATTTTGAGAATATATATTACATATATTCATTGGAGACAAGTAGTATTTAGGATAATTCTTGAGATAGCTGACTATGTCTCCTGGAATTTTGATAATCGCTTTAAGAAAAAAAAAACCCCTAACAGTTATGAATTAGATTAGTCTAAAAATATAGCTTGAAGACAAATCAAACAATTTACCTGATCTTTTGTTTCAATATACATTAATTAAGGACTCTTTCCAACCTACACAACATTCCAGGGTCATAGTCAGAAACGCAAGTCTAATAGCTCAGCAGCCTTTGTTGTTATTCGCGTCAAGCTATTGCCCCCTGCAGGTTAGGCTGTAAGTGCAAGCACAGTTTGGCCAAGTCCTCAGGAAATTCATGGTGGTCATGTTATTCCTTCTTTCCCAATATTTAAGTAGAGTCGACTTCTTAACTTTAAGTTTGTTTACATTATAGTTTATTTATTTAGAGAAAGTAAATTCAGAAAAAAGTGAGATTTAAAGGTACGTGATTTCAGTTTTCCTTCTGAGAATTTTGCTGGGTGGAGCAGACCATCCACCTTATTCTCACACAGGAAGTACTTTGATACACTTAATATAGTTTATCTTCTCTGATTTTTTTCCTACACGATCCAGCAAAACTCAAAAATGAATGCAACAGAATTGATCAAGAAATAATCCTGGGCAATTTACTACTCGATGTCAGTATGCTCTCTGTAGACTCAATGAAGTGCATTCAAGTTAAACTCTTTCAGAGTCTTCCTACTGAGGATGTGATGGGGACAATTATACTGTTTTCCTTGATTATAAAATGAAACATTGTTTCAACCTTCATTCTCCTGCCATCCTATCCTCCTATCCTACGACTTTTCCAAACAAGGCACCTTGCCAAGATGAAATAAACTTACTGTTGGCAAAATAGAAATTAAATGACATCAACTCTTCCAGAGTATTAGAAAGTGGAGCAGGTTTATGGGAATAATTTCAGAAGGTTTATGGAAAGATTTTAAAAAATATTTTGGAAGTCATGATACAGCTGCTCACACTGAGTTGTAAAGAAGCCTGCAATGGTATTTTTCTATTATTTAAATACATATCTCATTGAGCAGTGGGATATTATTATGCAAAACATCATCAGTTCTAATGCCAAATTAGCAATCAATAAGAATTTTACCTAGTCAAACGTTAGACGTATTATTTGCACATTGTGTTGAAGTAGTTAGAAACATGAAATGCATTCTACTATCTTAGAGTTATTCTGAAATGCTCACAAAAGACTTAAATAAAGGATAGTGGCTTTCTTGGAAGATTTTTTTACCCTAACCACTGATGGCTTTTTCCAGATCCTCCAGGATAGAAACATGGGATAGGAACTGGGGATGACTGTATTATGTCTTAAACAAATCCCAAAACCAAACCAACCAACCAACCAAAACCTAAATGCCTATCCTTGTTTTATTATATTTTTAAAGCTTGTTAAATTTCAAAAGGATACTATATGTATAAATTAAGACCTTCTCCGCTGCAGTTATTAACTCTGGCTCCAAGCAAAGACAGGCTTTCGATTATGCTGTTGGACTATTCATTGCCTAACTTTATAGCCAGAATAGCGGCTAGTTGCCTGCAACTGACATTTCTAGTTGTTTTTGAGTGGACATTTTTAAAGAAAAGAAAATTCACCTGTCTTTGAAAATTATATATCATATATATGATATGTTTACACATGATTTTATATATACAGAAGCACATTGTTATTAAGAGAGAAGATTTCAACTCTTCTGATTCAAATACCTATTGAGAGAGTTGCTTTTAATTAGCATCCAGAAAAGAGAGATGGTGTCCTTTGACCTGTGGGTGTGAATCAAGAGTAACGTTTTTTAATTCTCCCCGTACAAGACGCAGCAGATTGCTGCAAGTGCCCTGAAAGACACAATTCTCTTCCTCTTACTGTCACGACTATTGTTCTAATTGTTTCTAAAGGATCCGAACAGGGTTCTAGAAACCTTGTAATGTTCTGTTACTGTCGGAATCCTGGGTTATTAGACATTCTTATCTTTAGAAGCAAAAGACCCAGGCAATCTTATTCATATGCATCCTATGACTCAACTCAGTTTCCACTTGGCGGGCCCGTGTGTGTGTGTGTGTGTGTGTGTGTGTGTGTGTGTGTGCGTGTGTGTGTGTGTGTGTGTGTGTTTGTAGGTTCATCCTTAAAGCGTTTGTTTCCAGAGGTTTTCAAATGCAAATTGAGTGGGAGTGGTGGGAGCGGTGGTGGAGTGCGGTGTGTGGGTGTGGGGGATTCGGGGAGAGGATGTCGCGGGCAGTAACTTTATACAAATTCAAGGCCATCACTACTACTGCAGATCAAAACAACTTAGGTCTGAGCGACCCCTTAGAAAGATAAATCATCTCCTAATCTAGGCCGAGGCCGGCTGAAGGCGAGTCCCAGGGCTCGCGCTGTTTTGAGGGAGGGTCCTGCCGACCGCCAGGGGCCATCCTCGCGGGCGGGTCGCGGGGTCCCCGCTCGTTTGGCGAAGTGAAGCACGCCGGTCGCCAGGCCCAGAGCGCCATCGCGGACGGAGGCCAGCCGCCCGGGCCCCCGAGCTCGGCTCACTTTCCTCGACGCCCCGGGACGGGGCAAGGGCACCGCTTTGGCCACAGAGACTCTAGTTTCAGCAGGTGCAGCCCGCCAGCGCTGGCTCGGACCCGGGCCTCCGCAGGGAGAGTAAGGCAGCAAAATCTCAACTTCCACTCTGGATCTCAGATCGAGGACAGGAAGCGAAAGCAAAGGTGTGGTGACACAGAACAACGACCCACAAACCGTTGCCTCTCTTGGCTAAGTCGGCCTCGCTTTGCAGCCCCAGAAGCGCAAGGTGCGGTCGGCGCGGGGCGAGGACGCGGGGACTGGCCGCGCTATCTCTCGGGTCCCCTCGCATCCCGGCCAGTGCCCGCGGCTAGTCCCCTAACGCCCTCGCGAGGAAGGCTGCCCGGGGCCAAAGGCGACCCGGGCCGGAGGCCAGAGAGAGACGGCGCTGCGGGCCTCGGCGCTGGAGGCAAGCGGAGGCTCGGACCCTGTTCCTGAAAACGCCGGACTCCTCCAGGATGGCTGAAGTATAAAGCAGCTCCAGGAAGGCTCGGCGAGCTTTCGGGGACATCCAGCGTGGCTCACCCCTGCTGGTCTCTCTCCAGCCCTCGCCTTCCTCCCGTCTCCAGATCCCCCGCCCTCCCGGGGTCCCGGGCCGCGCGGGCTGAGTCCGCCGAGCCGGGAGCAGCGCGGCTTTAGGCAGAGCGAAGGAGCCCCCTGCTGGCCAGGCCCGGCAGGCGCGGCGACCTGCTCCCAGGTCCCTCCGCCCCGCGGGGAGGCGGCCCTCCCTTGGCCCGACTCGACCTTCCCGCGCCCCCGGCGCTGGGGGCGTGTTGAAAGAAACAGAAAACAAACCAAACCAAAACAAACAAAGCGCCACAATCCTCTCTCACCTCGTCTACCGCTCAAAGGTAAGTGTGAGTCCAGCCTCTCCCTTGCCCTTCTCTGACCCTTCTCTGGTCCTCAGGGCTGAGGTCTGGGGAGACAGGGGCCACCCCGCAAAAAAAAAATCATGGCTGCTTTTGAAAGCACGTTTTGCAAGCATCAAGATTAAACATACGCGCGGGCACGCACACACACACACACACACACACCTCTCAACCAAACCCACACTTACCAGTCCCGAAGAGGGCTACTGATGTGCATGTTTCTGGAAGCATTACATTAACTGTTGGAGGAAATGTTTACTAATATTTCAGGTTCTAGGCAACAGCAGTAATTCTGTGGATTGGAAGGGGGAAGAAAGAGGAAGAAAAATCCCGCTTAGTTTAATCCTCCCTCACATACCTGAACGGGAGTCTCGGGTCTCAAGTCTTAGCATGGGCAGAAAAGTTTTCACCCTCCTACAGAGAGGGAAGAGAGAGATTCAGCCATTTCTAAGGGGTTTCCTGTATCCTGCTCCCGTTCCTGACCGTAGAACTGGGGAAGGGATTGTTTTCTTTATCTAGACAATTCGTGACTTAGTTCTGTATAGCGTTTTGAAATTAGTTTAACCTTGAGATAGGCTATTCGCTTTGAGTGGCAGATTTTTCTACGCTTAGGTAAAGGTTATTAGAAATCACGTTTTCTCCTATTCAGGCAACGTTGAGGTAGAGATGGGCATAATATCTTATTATCGTGACTTTCAGTAATGTCTGTTGCCTCCGCATGTTTGCTGTCTTTGGAGAAGGAGCATAGTTAAAGAAATATTTTTTATGAGTTTAGGCAAATAATAAGTGTAGGTTCAGTAAAGGATCAGTACTATTTGTCTCTCCTTTCTTCCTACACTCTTCTGGGGAAAGAAACTAAAGGATTTTGACTGTCCTGAGACTAGTTTATAGTAGGCAAGATCTGGGAGAGTATCTTTTAAAATGGTGTCTGTTTTCTTATTTGGTATTTTCAGATGGATGGCAGAATGGAATGAGGCTGATATGGAGTGGGATCTGATCTGCCTCTTTTATGTCTACCAATCCAGGAGATCTGAGCAGACCATAGAGAGTTAGAACTTCTCCCGAAACTAACAATAATAACTATAATAATAAAAGCTAGCATGTCTTGAGTGTTTACTCACTGTCATGTGCTGTGCTGCAGGCTTTCCTGTCATTATCTCATTTAATTCTCACTGCAGGCCCTTGGATAAGGTGCTATTATAGTTTCTCATTTGGCAGAACAGGAAAGGCTTGCCGAGGTTTGTTTACTTGACCAAGGTGACAACAGATGGTAATCAGAAGAGCAAGGAGCTGAAAGCAGTCAGTAGAGGAGACACCTAGAGAAATCATACTTATTGTATTGAATTCAGGCTGGTAGTAAACATTTTAGGTCTGAGTTTTGGCCGTTCCAAGAAAAAAGAAAAGATATCTTTTCTGGAAAGAAAACATTTGATAAAATGGAAGTATTTGTTCTGAAAAATGCTTGCGATCAATGCCTTACCCCCATTTCACAGATGAGAAAGCTGAGAGAATGAATCGACTTAGCCACCATAGTTAAGTGCGTAGCCAGGCCTTAAAACCAGATTTTCTGATTCCAGCTCCTCTATCCATTCCACTTAACCACACTGTCCGAACAGAGATGCTTGGTTTTTCTCGAAATGCTGAACAGTCACTCATTAACCATTCAGAGCCCATCTTGCTCAGCGAGGAAGCTTTCTTTCATCTTAATTGTGAGTACCTTTTTCTACTGAAAGGATGCAAATATGGAAATAGTGCTATTCTCAGTGGTGAATTAAATGACATAAAAATGGCAAAAGACTAAAATAACTACATCAGCTTTACTTGAAAAGCAGTTAAAGCAGTTGAAAAGATCTCTGAAAGGCCTGTCTCAGTACAATTTTAGTTTTCTCCACCCCCCAAGACCCATCCTACCTTACCCCAGGAAAGTCATTCCACATCACATTTCTGCTAGCTTTTGTTCACAAAGGAGTTTAACACTCACAAGGGTTTGGTGCTTTTCATCCCCATTCATATATTTCTTCTTTGTTCTGTGAATGGTTTCAGTAAAAATGTTGAAACAAATCTTTGGAGTGACCACTTGAATGGCAAAAAACTGACAATATTAATTAGCAGGAGGTTTTTGACTAGCCTCCACGTTTTAACACGTACTTACAGTGCACTGAAGCATATTGCGTAGAACTGATTTACTCGGGGTTGTAAGCTTAGCTCAGGTGCAGAATGTGCTTCATAAAATGGTCTTAGGGTTCCTCCATTTTCCGTAGGCCTCAAAGCATCAGAAAAAGCCAGATGAACTGCCTTGAGTCACTGACTGAACTGCAGCCCATATGTCTCCGTTTTCCCAGGCATTTGTGTGCAAATTATTTGGCCACATGGCCTCCTGTCATGTTGGGGATCTGTGATTTTTCCAAAGGTTTAATTTAGTTGAATATGATTGTTAACGTCAAGTTGGGAATTTTCTCCCTCTCACCTCTCATTAAAGCCCTTAGTATCAATATCAGTTTAGAACTATTATGTTATATAATAAAGCTTGCTTGTCTGTGTAAATTTGTACCGTAAGCACTTTCACTGATGTTTAGACTTGAAGGGCTTTTTGAAATTATCTAGTCTAATCCTTTATTTTACTGATGAATAAATTGAAGTCCTAAGGGGTAATTCGGAATTCTGAAGGTCACCCATTTAGTTAAGGGGAGATTGGGGACTGGAACCCAGATTTCTGTATTCAAGCTCTAAGGCCAGTGCATTCCCATAGCATCATGTTCCTTCTTTATTTGATTGTCAGAAATTCAATCACTCATTCAACAACTAGTTATTGCCATAAACTTGACAGCTGTCCTAGGCATTAGAAATTCAGCAAAGGGAAAAATAAAACAATCCAGAAAAAGATATTAATTTGTCTAAACTTAGTGGTGGAGGAAATCAAATGCCAGTCTTAATTGTGGTTATAATGACATTTTATAAAGACATTTTTCTTAAAAAATACCTTTAATGTGTTATACTGTGCAAGGCAGACAAAAGCATGCTAATCTTCTTCCGCATTTCCTGTTAAAGAAATTTGTGGGAATCCTTAATACCAAATAATGAAATCATTGACAGAAATTAGTAAATGGATATAGCAAATCTTAACCAGGTAAGTAGGGCCCTCTCAGGTGATCCATTCTTACATCAAGGATAATCTTTTATCAGGAGTCTTTCTGTGATTTGGAATTAAATGCCTGTGAGAAAACATAGACTTGTACAGGAGCTGGGATAAAGAAAAAATAAAGAGATCAAAGAGGAAATTATTCAACAAGATGTTTTTTAAGAATGAGACATTTTCCAATGTATATTAGATTGTCCTAGCAGATGAACCAAAGGGCCAGGAAAGCACTAGCTTGAGAGTTTAAGGCAGAAGCCTCAGGGTCTATTATAATTGGTTTTTGTGATTAACTCAGCTTTCCCCTTTAGAATATGATATACTGATATACTGTAGCCCCCTCCTTCCGTCCCCTGCCCGCATGGTATAATTAGGAGGGAAAGGTATAAAAAGTTCAATCTGTAAAATTCAGAGTTCCATTACCTTGAGATTCATCAAAAACAATATTTTTCAGAACACAGAATTGGTCGTCACAAACAAAACATACACTGGACATTGAAATGAAAAACTACCAAATAATTAGGACACAGCAACTTCCTAAAATGCCTGCCCTGCTGCTTCCACCACAAGAGTTTCAGCTTGTCAGTTTGACAATGAGGACCAATGGTCAGTTGTCTTATATCCACACTTACTGCTAGTGAGGGACAAGTTTTTGTAGGGTTTTACTGTTATCTGACTTAGTAATGAAATGAAGTTCCCTCTTAGCAAATATACAGAGGGGAGAAGTCACTTCATTGGAGGGGCAGGGTAGGAGGACAGAGGAGGAGAATTTTGTCTGATAAGCAAGGGGAAGAGGTACAGCTACCCACTGAAGTGTCTTTTGTACTCTTTCCTGACAATTTAATTTGTATTTGGTTCTGAGTTCCCAAAAAGCAATAATATATAAGGTGTATTAGTTATACTATAATATGTGAGTTAATAATAGAATATAATAGTTTGGCTATTTCACATTTCCATCTTCTATATGTTAGTCACGTGATAGGCAGGACAGGCTGAAATAAACTATTGGATGTCTGTTCCATTGTGAGGGCCACCCAAATCCAATTCACTGTAATGTGAACTTTCGAGGAACTCTTACAGGATTTCTCTTTCGTGTCGCCTGGATGTCATGTGTTGGCATCAACCAAGGAAATGATGAAGTTAGATCCTCAAGAGAGTCACTGATCTATTTCTTGCCTCCAAGTGCAACTGAAACCAAACTATGACTACCTGAAGTGTTGAATTGCAGAAAAATGGTTGAATTGTTATCTCTACTACCTGTATTTCTGAGATTAGAAATTATAGGGGGAAAAGTCTGAATCTCCTTTAACTTTTTCTTCCTGCAGGCCAGCTGAAGAAGCAATAGCATCTCCCCCCTCCATGATCACTGAAAAAAGTAGCAAATCGTCAATAAAGGAAAACACGAGACCTGAGATCTTTTGGGTCTGCTTTAAGATCCTAGCGAACGTGTGGAACAATGATGTTGGAGCTCCCACGTGATGTGACTAATGTTATCTTTCTGGAGGAGTGAAAAGTTCTTTGTGAACCACATGGCTTTTGGAGCCTATCCTCTGTAGAAAGAAAGAAAGACAGATGAAAGGAAGGGAGGAAGGAAATAAAGAAGGAAGGAATGAAGGAAGGAGAAAAGGAAGATAGGGAGAAAGGAAAAAAAAATCTCATCTGAGGTGGAGGTTAAGTGACAAGAGAAACTTTTCGCCTTGAGGTTTATTGTCTCTGCACTAGGTATATAGTAATATGGTTTTTCTATCTTTAAATCCATACTTAGCTAGGCATTAAACTCTAGGAATAATCTGTTTATAGAAAATAAAGCCATTTTTATTTGAAAACAAATGGAAAAAATAATTATTTTTCCCCAAATGTGTACCCTTTTAATTGATCAAATGCATCCAAGAAATTCTGCCGGCAATTTGAACACTCTGTAGGTGTTGTTGCTGCTCTAAATTTGTCTGCAAGAGGAATTGTAAATGGTATTTACCTTTTAATTAAACAAAGCATCTTGCAAATTAAACACATGCTCTTGCACATCAAAATTTGGTTAACATCCTTTTCATTGTTCATCCTGCTGACACTCTGACAGCATCATGAGTCCACACACAATATAGAATCACGCTGCTCCCCCCTCCTCTGCACTTTGCATTCTTCAGAGTAGATGATATCACGTGAGAGAGTACACTCTGTAACTGACTTCTAATAACTGAACAGCTTTTCCCATTTAATGTACTTAATATTGTGTAAAATATGGGACTGCCTCGGTGTGTCCAGAACCTGGAAAGCTTTGGACACTGATCTGACATATGTCTTATAATCTTACAGTGGAAATTTGACAGTGAATGACAGAACACCTTAGAGGAATATAAGAAGCTGATAAAGGCAGAAGCACTGCACATGAATGCAGAGTCTGGTTTCTAATAGCTACATGCTTTTTTACATGCATACCAGTAATTTGACATTTATAATTCACTGTGGAGCCGAATTTCTGTCATTTTCTTACTGTCAAGTCCTCCACATTTTGAAATAAATGTCCCTTCTAATTATTATATGAATTTGAACTTCAACATTCAATTTTTTCCCCTGTCCCTTATAATGGAGTACTACATTTGGCTGAAGTCTGATTTGCAAGACCATTTAGGAAATGTGATCATTTCACATGTATTCCCACAAACTATGCATAGGAACCCCTTTCTTGACTGTACTCTGCCTTCCTTGTGAAAGTACGATTTAAAACTCATCCATCAGTACTGTATCCAAGAAAATAAGGTTATTAATGGCAGAATGAAACTGAGATAATTAGGTTATAGTCTTCATGGAACAAAAGTCAGAGAGAGGTTTTTCAATAAAGCAAAATTGTAGTTAACGACTGTCACTCAATTGTACTGGTGCTCATTAATCTCTTTTATTTCTGTTTATTTATGGTTTATATAATTGAAGTAAAGTCATTTGCTTAGAATGTTGCCAAAGGAGAAATGCTTTCTGCTTTGAAAAGAGGCATCTCAGGATAAGGTGGAATAAAATCCAGGGTGAGGTGAGGTCTTCCCCTAGCATTATGGCACCCCCAAGATTTTTCTTCTTTAAAGTTGAGGGGTTATTTTTACCGTGAGTAGTTAGTTTTGAGGTTCAGGTAAATAACATGTTGAAGAGATGCTACTCACGTAAGAAATTGCTTTGAGGCGCAGAAATGATTGGTGTGGATATGAGTGGAGGAGAGGGCGAGCAGTCCCTTGGTGTCATCATAAAAAGCTTTAGCTCAAAGGAATGAACTACCATCTTGCTTTGTCTTAACCAAGCTTTAAAAAACAAAAGTAAAGCATAAAAGTACAACGTGCAGATATAGAATTTTGTGTTTTAAATAGATGTTTATAAAAAATATTGGTGGCATGATGCTTGTTTGTTGATTAAAATAAGCCTTCACACATAAAAATAAAATGTACTTTCTTGATTTCAAGGAAATGGATAGAATGTGAATGCTGAGTACAATCAAATAGGACTTAAAATAACCAAATTCATTTTCCTAAACTGAGATAAGACCAAAGAGTAGGGACTTTGGCTAGTGACACACTTTTAAAATATTATTTGCTTTTATACCAGCCCAACTTCTGTCCCCTTGTTTAAACATTTCACAATTTGACTGGATACAGTTTCCCAGCTATAAAGAAAATCTATGCCAGCCAACAAGTTTCAGAAGTATTGATTGGAACTTTCACTGGTGTGTAAAATCATCATGTGTGCCTGATCTATAGACGTAGATTTTCCATCTGAAAAAAAATTTTTTTAAGTTTCATATTGATCCTTGTGCCATTTGGTTTTTGCTAGGCTTATGAAAGATAAAGCATTGATTTAACTCTTTATGGAACCATCCAATGTGTAATAATTTTTACAAGTAATAATATATAAGGCTTCCTTTTTCTAGATTACTTTCTACAGTATATTCAATAGTACACTCCTATTTTATATATCAATTTCCAAAAAGATAACTGAGAATTTTTCAAAAAATCTGCAGTGCCTTCGTGAATGCTGACAAAATGGTTGATGTTTCCTTAGTTCTTGCTAAGTGCCAGGTATTGTGCTGGAGACGTCACACATCCCATGGCATCTTACAACGACTCCTTATGGAGGTCTTCTGAGGTGACCGAGACTTATGGAGACTGAATGCCTTGTTCAAAGTCACTCACCTAGAAAAAGTGGAACCTGGTTTCAAACCAAGTTCTGATTTAGGAGGGATGGCTCTTATATACAATGTTGTGTGGCTGCTCACAAGTCTTATCTACTGAATACTTATCAGGTACCAAACACTGTACTTTAGAAATTTACAGGCTGTAAAATGTATCTTCTTTAGCAACAAATCTAACTCATAGATCTGAGAAAAGAATTTTACTAAAAAGGCTATTCTGGGTTTAAGCTAAGTGTGGAAGTGGAAGGGTATCTAGATGGGGTCAACTTAGACTGAAACTGCAAAGTGGGCCAAGTGTGTCTTCAGTGCCTTTTTCTTTCTTCTTTCATACTCTTCCCCAAGTCTGCTTCCTATGGCTGTAGAACAAACTCTCAGAAGAAGGTACTCCTCCCCAAATTTGAATTTGACTAGGGGCATCTAGAAGACTGAATAGAAGTCAAGCTGTAAAGAAATAGATTCATTTGTGCATTCATTGACTCATTCATTCATTCATTTTAAAGTGTGAAAGGGATGTGAAGACTAGAGACTGTTCTAGAAGTCATATAGCTCAAGGGTAAGAAACTGGTGGCCCTCCAAATAGGGCCCACAATGTGGATTTTCCCCAATATATTTTGTAAAATGGAATTTGAATGCCTTCAGGTGGGACGTATTGTCCAGTATACCACAGCCCCTCACCACCATTACCATATCTCATCCTTGTTCTGCATATTCTGTACTTAGTCCCTCAAATCGTTTCAAGTTTGTGACTGCAGATAGTCAAATATAGAAAGTTTTTGAGAAGGCCGAGTCCAAGTAAGTTAGATTCTCTGCCCAAGGTCGATGTCATCTTTTTCTTTTCAACACCTAGTGCTTGGCATATAGGAAGCTCAAAAAATATTTATTGAATGAATTAATTAATGTGACAGGATTGAGACTAGAACCCAAGTGTCTCTGGTTCCAATCCAGTGTTTGTTAAACCTTATCACTTAATCTTTAGGAGGAAGGGGGCTACTTTTGCATGCAGGAAATTTGGCTCTATCTTTCAGTACATGGTTTTTCTTTTTCTACCCAAATCAAATGAGGCCTAAACTAAAAGCAATTCAGCCAGAGGAGATTCATTCAAAGGTTGGTTTCAAATTGAAATCATGTAAACACAGCAACTAAATGCACAATACTTTCCAGAAGACCCAGAAAATCACATTTACTTCCAATAAAGTCATGATTATTGATGTAGTGCACTATCTTCATCCCTGTGAGTGAAAGGGACAGAGAAGCAAGAGAGAAAGTGAGTGACTTTGCCAGGCTTATCAAGAATGTTTTAGGAACCTGGAGGAACCTTTGGACTGAGCTGATTTTATATCCAAACATTCAGAAATAAAAATCCATTTACCTAACTCTGATTCCTCTATGCTATACAAACATCTGGCTATTTAGAAAGCAATTGATTCCTTTAGTCAGCATTCACTTGTATATTTAGTGTGTTACAGCTTTGGGCTGATTCTTCTGTCATTGTTATAGCATGTCAGCCATATGAATGCTCTGGAGAACCTTGGGGTGGCCATTAGGGATAATTGTATAAAGTAGGAGAAGAGTTACAACTTTTGATCAGGAATGAGTTTTTAAGGCGGTAACCATGTTTCCACAGATATGAGAGATACACTAGTTGAGCGTGTCAAGTGTACAAAGTCAAGGCAGGGTATTACATCTAATGTTGAACTGAGACCAGAGCCTCATCTGCCATATAACCATCTGCGTGACCATCACATTATCATCACATGCTGCTTGAAAGCCTTCAACACTCCTTCTTATTTTCTAAGGACAAATTTCAAAATCCTGAGCCTGTCAGTCAAGGCTCACCATGCTGGGTGCTCAATAGTATTTTTTCAGAGAGCTCATGGATATTTGCTTCCATACATTCACCCAAGAGTTCTCAAAGGCCTGTGAGCCTTGTTTTACGTGTTTTTTCCCCTGACTATAAGACATTTCCCATAGTACCCTGAGAAAGCCCTTCTCTCACTTTGTGCATGTCCTCAACCTTATCTCTTCTATGAAACTATTTGTCACTGTTCTTGAGCATCCTCTGAAAAATTTGTAGCAATCACTCTCTGCTCTCTGTTATGTTGCACTGTACTTTCTCTGCTGCTGTTACGGCTATATCACACCACCTATTGTATAGCTATTATGTACTTGCTTGTATTACCTATGTTATAGTTCTCAGGTACATTCCTATGTTACCTATATTATAACTGATAGGTGCATACTTGTCCTCTAAAAAATGTAAACTGTATGAAGAACAGACCATCTAATTTTTAATCGTTGCTTTCCATGGCAGAGTTTCAATAAATATTAGGTCAATCAATCAATCAGCTAAACACATTGAAGTACTTGTATAGCAAACAACAACAAAAAAAGCAGAGATGAAGTCATGATATCTTTGGAGATATATCCAGTAGCCCTACTGTTTTTTTTTGCTTTTTTGAGTGTGACTATAAAATAGTAAATTTTCTCTTTTCTTTTTTCCTAACTTTTTTGTTCTTTCTTTTCCTTTAAAAAATTTTAAAAACAAACTATGATATTTACACAGCAAATATCATTTCGTTTTTCAAGATGATTGTATTTATTCTGTTCATGTCGACATTGTTAAAACATTTTCTTAGATCATCTCCTCTGGAATTGTTTTAGAAGTCAGTCTCATTTCTTTCTTGTTTCATTTGGTTTGTTAAAAAAATTCAACTAGTGTTCAAAATTTGAAGATTTACAGCAATTGAAACAAATCCTAAATGCCAAATAAGAGTTATTGATGAAAAAAAAAGATATAACAATCCTCACAAAGAATATTATACAACCATTAAAATAGTGATATTATGTAGGAAATTATTTACACAAAAATTGTTCATTATCTTTTTCTTTTTGCTTACTAGTGATGATTTTTCTCTTTTTATTAAAAAATGAAGTCTAGAGAATTTGAAAGAACAATTCAGTGGATACCCATATAACTTTATCCTTAGTTCAGCAATTATTAACACTTTGTGAACATTTTTTTCATGTGCTTATCTGTTTCCTTTTCTATTTATATTGATAAAGACAGGTGGGGTGTGTGTGTGGGGGGGGGTGTGTGTGTGTATTTTGTAGGCCCAGAGGATTTTTCTTCACTGTTACAGTCTAAAATCTAAAAAATACTGTTAGTAGCAACTGTCTAGGTCAGTTTTCCCAGATACACAATGGGTCCTTTGAATGTGGGAGTAAGGTCATTTTTTATTTCCAGAATTTTTTTCTTTGATAGTAATTTTATATATTAATTATATTTCATTGTTTTGTTTTTATTTTGGGGGAGATCAAATTGTTTCTATGTTAGATGTTTTATGTCTATTTTCTATATCGACCATATTATCTATGATTTTTTCTGCCTTATTTTGTTTTCATGGCCATAGCTCTATGCTTGCATTTCTTTAATATATTAAGGTCACAATCTATTTTTGTTGTTGTTGAATCTGTTTTCCCCTTAGCATCTTGTAATTTAGTCTTTACTTCTAAGATGATTTTTGTCTTTAAAAAAATAACATTTATTTCTGAGTTTGTCAATTCTCACTTCATATCTTTACAATTTTTTTGCCCATTTATGTTTTAAAGTTTATAAATTATGATTTAAGTTTTAAAAAAAATGTAAGTTCTTGCTTAAGGATCTTTCAGTGAATTTCCTTCTGCTTCATTTTAGT